ACACACACACACACACACACACACACACACATACATTAATTAATTCATTCATTCAAAAGAATGAACATTTTCTGAAATAATCTTTTTTTTAAGACAACACAAGAAACAACAGCCTACCAAAACAATTGAAAACAAAACACCAAAGATAAACAAAAACAAAGTAAAACAAACAAAGAAAAAACAAAAAAAACAAAAACAAAACAAATATAATATTCTTATAGACCAACATTTTATTGATGTCAGTCACAAATACAAAAATGAAGGAATGGGTCATTCAGTTGGTCAATCGATATACAATGTACCTGGATACCCGGAGGTGTCATCTCTGACTCAGAGGTTGACCTGTAACGACACTCCATCCTTCACAGTCGCGAGTTGTCGTTGCACATTCTGCCATATCTAGTCCAGTCCATGTTCGTATTATGTTGTCCATCCACGAATATTCTTTACCTTCCTCTGGCTCTCCTGCCCCACATCTTTTCTTCAAGCATCTCTACCACTATGGTCTTGTGTCGTTAAATGGCCACAGTATTGTATTTGTTTACATTATAGTTTATTGTTGTTGTTTTGTTTTTTTTTGGGGGGGGGTTTGTTGGTTGTTGTTTTGTTTTTGTAAAGTGTTTTACGGCGCTTGCAACTACATAAGGTCATATGAGCGCGCGGGACACTCCTAATATTTTCAGTAGGTAGGAAATTTTGAATTTTGCCCGGGTGGCGGCCGAAGCCGACTCTTATCGATTTTAGACCACCAAGGAATCTTAAACGTGCGCAACTTGCACACGGGACCTACGAGATTTTTCGCCCTTGTCTGAGAAGGCTTGGTGTAGATCTTTCCTACCAGAAGATCAGGGGTGTGGCAGAAAGACAGCAGTAAGGAGGAGCCAAGGAGTAGCAGTAGAAAGGCTGCAGAAAGAGTCAGGAGCCCAGAGGAGGGGGCAAAGGAGGTGAGGGGGTGGTGGCAGAAAGCAGACAACAGAGCATTGCTGGAGAGCAGGAAAGGAGGTGAAAGAAGACAATTTTAGAGAGAAAAAAATTTTCAGTTACTCCCCGGATTCGAACCCGGGACCTTTGAACTTTGAATGAGAGGCCAACACTTTAACCTCTAGGCCACGAGAGCCCCCACATTATAGTTTTTTCAGCTGGGTTTGTCTTGAGTGTCGACGAATCTGACACACCTCATTTTTTTGGGTCTTTTTTGTTTTTCAACTTATTCTGGTCCTTCAACAGTAGCAACACATCTCAAACGCATTACAATCAATAGGCCTATGACAATAGTTCGGTCAAAAATTCGTCACGCAACTTATTGTCAAAATACCTGCTCAACTATCGAACATAAACTCTCCAGCTTTTGCTCAGTGACTTGTATCGATTTGTCTTAATAGAACAATATTTTGTAAAGACCCGTAAGCTCTATTCAAGAAAATTCCTTAATAAATACTAATTTAAAAAATCCTAGTGGGTGGTTCCTACTGATTTTAAAAGGTTTACAGCTGGGACGATATCGCTTTTAAATGCAAGCCCGTCATTTTTTTCTAATCGCGAGATTGTCTTTATTGAACGCGTGTTTTGAGAACTTTTAGTGCAAAAAAGTGTTCACTATAAATTACAAATCAATAGGCCTATAATGATTATAAGCTTAACTAATACGAGCGATGATGTTCATCCGAGCGATCGCAACACATGCCGACATAACGGAAAATCGATAGACTATCAAAACACCTCAGACCCCCCCCCCCCCCAACACACACACACACACCACACACCACACACACACACACACACACACACACACACACACACACACACACACACACACACACACACCACCACCACCACCACCACCACCACCACCGCCACTCACGGTAACCCCGCACATGTAATGTCCAGATCAGATATAAATTAGGCCTGGAAATATTGACTAGTAGTCACAAGTGGTCAAACAAGTTCTCTCTCTCTCTCTCTCTCTCTCTCTCTCTCTCTCTCTCTCTCTCTCTCTCTCTCTCTCCACGCCCCCTGTCCAATTGCTGTCCCGCGTCAGACTGTGCAACCGAGCTCTCTTCCTCTCTTTCTCCCTGTCCCCCTCTCTCTCTCAACATCCACATAGCATTTGTCTATCGCTGATCACTCTATATCTCTCTGTCTTTGTCCCTCTCTCGCTTTGTCCCTCTCTCTCTCTCTCTCTCTCCCGGTACTCCATGTCCCAAATCGAAACACAATTGTCCAGCCTCGTCTCTCTCCGTCCCCTCGCCCCCCCCCCCCCCCCCTCTCTCTCTCCCTCCCAAACACTGGCCTGAGGCAGACACCATCGAACATAGGTGAGGCAACGTGGTGGAATCAGGCTCTCGTCAATTTTTGGGCATGTAGAGTTATTGGAATCCTCATACAGCTTGTTCATTTGTCTTTATTTGGATGAACAAAATATCCTTTGATCTTGAATACAACTCGAGATTTGCAAAAGAAGGAGGTGGGGGTCACCTGTTTTCAGAGGTAAAATTAGTGAGAAAATGGCAGCCAAAGATTAGTTATTTTCTTAGCTTAACAGTACGTGGTAACTGAAAATTTTCATTGTTTGTGCCTTTAATCAACGTACTTTTAGAATAATTCACACAAAAATGAGTTTTTTAATGGGAATGAAAGGAGTAGAGCCAAAAAACAAAAATTTGATAAAAATTCACAAACCTGTGGAAAATGCAAGTTCCTTCACTTTGATTAATTTGACGAGAGCCTGATTTCACCACGCTATATTTTATAGCCCTCCACTAACTCTTACTCATTGCTTGTCCGAGAAGCCATCGTGAGTCCTCTCGGGAATTTACAGCAGTGATTTCCCCTAGCCTACTGCCATTGTGTTCGGGCTGTCGTTTGCACCTCTCAGAAGGGCCTTCTAACTAAATTATGTGCTAACCATTGTTATTTCCCCTTGACTATTCCAGCTCAGCAAAATACGACAAACGTGTCAACAAAAGGTCGCTCACCATAATTTTAACGTACATGACGTAGGTCTTCTCGGTGGCAAATTTTAATTGGGCGCCATGAAAAATACCCTTTCTCTTGCGTTCGTAAAACAGTCGCCATTAAAAAAGAACTCCTTTTCTTTGTTATATTATTATTAGTCTCAGTAAAGAGAAGCACATCCATTCAATGACACAGTCATGTAGTTAGTGCGGAGAAAACCAAGACAAGGCAGACGACAGAAACACCAGAAGGCAAGAACAGAAGTAGGACCTTATACCAGTACCACCAGTGGTGTCCTCCAACAATCCGGCATCGTTCATGACTCCACTAGATCTACACGCAATAATTCCTGGAACCGTAGACGCAGACCATTTGTAAAGGTGAGTGTCTACAATAGAGAGACTAAAAAAAGTAGCCTACGATTGTTTTTATATTTTGTCTGAGGGCACAGTTTAGGCTTTATCATGTAGAGGTATCTTAAACATGCACTTGTATTAATTTCTCAAATATGATTATTTTATTTCATTTCATTTGTTCATTTAGACTCCACCTTTGATTTATTTAGTCATCTTCGGCACTTATATACATGACCTTATAGTGTTGCTAGTGCCATAAAACTCTTACTAAATCCTAAAAAGGCTGATAAAACGCATTACACAGTGTCATCATGATAAATATTAATAATAATATATTTAAAAACGCAAGGGGGTGGGGGGGGGGGGGCTGCGGAGCGGTCGTTTGTGCAGATGATTGGTGGCCGTTAGAGCAGGTTCGACTGTATTGGACAAGAAACATCTGAAAAATGTGGTCGCTTTTAAGCACAAGGGGGCTATCCCGAGAAACGTTGTTTTGAGAAAATCGAAGTTAAAGGCTAGAAAAATGTCGATTCCTTTTATTTCATTATTTTGACGAGCGCCTGATTTCACCAAATATTCTCATTTCAGAAATAATGCCGAGAATGTTGGTCAAAAGAAACCTGACGCACATCTTCCTACTGGCCTTGGCGTTCACAGATGCAGTCATCCTTGTTACAATCTACACAGCCAGCGGCTCAAAAACTAGTCAAAAAGAGCTCGAGAAAGACTCAAAAGACTCGAAAGACACGGATAATGCGATAGTGCGTCAGTCGTTTTCTTTACATACAGTTGAAACCCTCATGCGATACTGCTGGGATCGACAGAGATTTGAACAACAGCCCTCAAACTCAACACTGAGAAACGCTACGAATACTAACAGTTTCTTCTCGAGTTGCGTTTTGGATTCCCTGTCCTACTTAGAACTATCGGAAATGGACGATGATGAAATTCGGCTTCTGTATCCAACTTACGCAGAAGAGGAATACATTCACAACACAAACCAAAGCAGCGCTCAATCGAAAGCTAGTCTTACGTCATCAAATCTCTCTGACTTTCTCTCACAGCCAATAATCAACCCTCACGATAACGGATACACGTTGAACCTCGTGACGTTTTGCGCAGATTCTGACCCGGATGTTCTCGTGATAATTCCCTCAGCTCCCGGGAATTTCCAGCGTCGTCAAAAGACGAGACAGAGACTTGGGTCTACTAATAATGTGAGTCGCGACTCTGTCCAGGCGGAGACGGTTAGAGTCAAAAGCTTGTTTTTCCTCGGCATACCGAACGGAGATAATGCCACGAATGTACAGAATATGATTCTGGAGGAATTCTCCTTATACCAAGACATCGTCCAAGAAAATTTCTCGGACGTCTACTCAAATATTCGAATCAAGGCTGTTGGAATGCTCAAATGGGTGTCGGAATTCTGCCCGCAAGCCAAAATGGTCATCAGAAGTGATGATGACGTCACGATCAACAACATGACCGCGCTTCTGAACTCCGCACTAAACGCTTACACCAAGCAGGACAACTTTATCATCGGCGCCAAACTCTGGAGATGGCTTCCCAATCGGCACAAATGCTCCAAGTATTACGTATCCGAAAAGGAGTACCCAGATTTCACCTACCCTCCAGGATTTAGAGGAGGGCTGTTGGCGTACCCCATAAAAACCGCCAAACTTCTGTTCGAGGCTTCCCTTCGCGTGAAATCTCTGTGGCTGGACGACGTGTACATAACGGGTCTCTGCTCGTCTCACATCAACGCCACGCTTCTCGTGGATGAGAACTTCGCGTTCCGCCACAGACCGGAACAGTCAGAGAGGGTTATGTACAACAAATGTTTGAAGAAAGAGAAACAGAAAGCTCTGAGGACTTGGCCCCAGAAACCGCTGTCTTCCCGAGTTTCTGGCTTGTGTCGCCCGGCTTGGAGGAAGTGTGGACTCAGATGAACTGTCTGGACTGCATGTACATGTATGACTGGAATGCATGTAGGCTACGTATGACAGGAATGGTTGTAAGAATATATAATTTAGTTTCTTAAACTTTCTGGAATGTATAGGCCTACATGTGTATGACTGGAATGGTTGTACATGTATTAATATTGTAATATAATTTCGTTTTATGAACTTTCTGGAGTGTAAGTATGTATCTATGTATGACTGGAATGGTAGTATTAATTTAATATTGTTAAATCATAAATTAGTTTCCTGAACTTTCTGGAATGTATGTACATGTATCGGGTATGACTGGAGTGGTTGTATGTATCAATATTAAAACATGGATCACAATCTAATTTCCTGAAATTTCTGGATTGTGTGTATGAATGACTAGAATAATATATGTATGACTGGAATAATATATATATGACTGTAATGTAAGTACAGGGTGGTCCCAAAAAAACTTAACAACTTTTTTTTCTGAATATCTCGAGCAAAAAATTGTTCTAGGATGCTGTGATTTGGAAAAGACATAAAAGAAAAAAGCACCCAAAAACGCAAAGTTCACAAGTGTTTAAATAACAATAATATACATGTAGTATAGTACATAGAGCTGTCTGTCGAGCCGGGGTATGCGCTATACAAATGCTATGTATAATCAATTACAATTACATTATTATCATTTGGTGCTGGAAAATAGTAAGACAGACAGACAGACAGACAGACAGACAGACAGACAGACAGACAGACAGACAGACAGACAGACAGACAGACAGACAGAAACAACAGAGGGAAACTAAGGAAGTAGGACTTGCCAGTGGCACCCTCCAACCACCCGCTTGTGTTTCAGCGTTGCTATGAAACATTTACGCTTTGATCATTGTATAGTCTCTCGGGCTTCGTATCGAGTTTTGAGCTGACGACGGAGTGAGTTCTGTCCTATAAGCTCTGCTCCTACTCTTGACTCTGCGCGTCTATGAGTTCTGTCCTATACTCTCTTCTCCCACTCTTGACTCTGCGCGTCTATGAGTTCTGTCCTATACGCTCTCCTACTCTTGACTCTGCGCGTCTATGATTTCTGTCCTATACGCTCTCCTACTCTTGACTCTGCGCGTCTATGAGTTCAGTCCTGTACGCTCTCCTACTCTTGACTCTGCGCGTCTATGATTTCTGTCCTATACGCTCTCCTACTCTTGACTCTGCGCGTCTATGAGTTCAGTCCTGTACGCTCTCCTACTCTTGACTCTGCGCGTCTATGACTATGAGTTCTGTCCTATATGCTCTCCTACTCTTGACTCTGCGCGTCTATGAGCTCTGTCCTATACGCTCTCCTACTCTTGACTCTGCGCGTCTATGAGTTCTGTCCTATACTCTCTCCTACTCTTGACTCTGCGCGTCTATGAGCTCTGTCCTATACTCTCTCCTACTCTTGACTCTGCCCGTCTATGAGTTCTGTCCGAATGGATAGGTCTAGCAGTGTTCTAAAGTTTCCGGGGGAGGGGGGGGAGAGAGAGGGAGAGAGAAAGAGAGAGAGAGAGAGAGAGAGAGAGGAAAGTAACAGACAGACAGACAGAGCCACAAACGGGCAGACAGACAAACAGGTTCTAAGACTAAGCACCGAACTGTGAAAAAAAGAAGAAGATATATATTATTTTATATTCCATTATTATTCTAATCGAAACTGAAAAGCGGCCAAACCCTTCCTCCGGTACCCTGAGCTGCCCATGCATCATTCGGCCCCGGGCACATTATACTTTAGACATCGCGTTATCAACCATGGATCTCTCTCAATATTCATAAAAATCAGTTGGTTTCCAGTTTCCTGTCACTGATAAGGAGAGCCCATTGCTTGTTCGTTTATCATGTAAGACGTCTTCTCAAGAATTTTTTTTTTTTTTTGGGGGGGGGTTCTTTTTTTGGTCAGTGTTTTAGTTTTTTTTTTTGAAATCCATTAAAGTATTAGTGTTGCATGTTTGCATAGTGTGGCTTGCTTGTGCTAAGCGATTTTTAAAAATCAACGAGACACGTCATGTCATAAATTGAGTTAAACAAAATAGGTTACCATTAGATACAGATAATTAAAAAAAACATAATTTTATAGTTCTGTCTGTCTCTCTGTTTGTTTCTCTGTCTGTCTCTCTGTCTGTCTCTCTGTCTGTTTCTCTATCTGTCT